ATCACTCTCATCTTCGGGCGGTCTAGTACTACTCTTTCTCCATATGCTGCCATCAATAAGACTTCCGTGGGGCGGTCCCCACGGTTATCATGCCCCAAGATGTTTATCAAGGCGGTCAGCAACATGACTACCTCTTGGTCCTCCAGAGCGAAGTCTCGATCCATTAGCTTCCGATAGATCGCATCTGCCATCGGTCCTACATATGCCTCTGCCAGGTCCATCAATTCATCCAAGTTGAAATTATCCATCTTCTTGCAAGTTTGATTTTAGTATCGATTCGATGATTTGAAATCAAGTGAGAGATTAAACGATCAATCAGGATCTAGAAAAGAGGTCACGAATATCACATTTGTCAACTTTACACTAGTTTTGTATTAAAATTTATATAAAACATTCAGATAAAAAGATTTTGATAATAAAGTTTATTAAAATCAATCAGTTTCTAAAACTTTGGAATCCGACCAAAGATTGGACAGTTCAAACTTTGGGTCTATTCCTAAGATTGTCATTCAGTTGTTCATGGTCACTAACTCCTTCTTACCCTTATCTTTTAATAACATATCACATAACATAACATAACACACGTATCGCACACTACACATTTATTATAACACTCTCCTGCATGCCACCTAAATTCAGCCTATACTTAAGTAGTAATTCTTATGTAAGTATACTTGTATATTAGTATCGGAGAAGATTACGTGTATCAGTGCGTACAGTTCCCGTGGATGCAGTCGTCCTCTGTTCGGATCGTACACTGGAAGCGAAAGCTCCTTCACTTCCCTTTCCACGAGGAAGTCTTCCAATCTCGTCAAGGACAAGACTAGGTTTTCCGGATCCACGTGCCGCTTCTCCGTCACCCTCGTCACCAAGAACCATAAGTACTTTCCCGGTATCTGTGACGCCGCAAGAGGCAAGGCTGCTACGCCCCTATTCCTGGTCTTTGCTTCCAAAGGAATTCTATGTTTTTAAATTCTCTCTTAAAATCTGCTTCTAACGCTGTCTTAAAACTCATGTCTGCTGTGATTGCTATCGCACATGGTCTATTTGTGAATCTGAAATCGCTATCTGTTAGTATTATGCTACTTGAATATTCATTTGGTAAGTTAAAATATGACTCAACTACCCTCCCTATGTCCGGTTTCTTAGGGTCCTCGCCTGTTTCCGCTTCTAAATCTCCTGTCTCTCTTGCTATTCTTAATTTTTTATTAATAAATTTTCAGTGTGGGTAAGTCCTACCCCCACTCCCCGGACAAAAATATCAATTGACGTCCCCGTCGATCGCATATCGGATATCAAGCCCAGGAAGGATCTTCTCGTTCGGTTTTCCTGTATTTCATGCTTTCACGATCTACATCTTGAATCGTGACACTGGTCTCCTTTGGGTCCGACGTCATTTCGTTCAGCCACTCAAAAACACGCAGATTCCTCAACTCTTGTTCGTAGGATTGCTGTTGCTCGTCGTCGAATTCTACCTCGGGTTTCGACCGATCCTCGATCCACTCCTCGTCGTGATCATCGACTATGTCAATGTCCTGTGACATAGTTATATCTTCTAGACCTACTACTTCTTCCACTATCTTCTTTAGATCTATCCTGTCCACTACAAAGTCATCGCCGTTAGGGTTAAATTTCTTCTTGGATCTTGTCCTGTCATTCTGTCTAGTCTTTATCGTGAACGAAAAATCTGGTTCAAAATTCATGGGAACCTCCCTTTGTTCTGAGTTATGCCAGTCCTCATCTGCGTAGGGTAAGGTTTCTTTGTCCGCTTCAATCACCTCGCTTGGATCCAGGTTCAGTGGTGGACTTGTTCCTTCCTCTACGGCTTCATTCCCATCGTTCTTTTCCCTGGTGCCCTTCTCGTTGACCTCACAGGCAGGGTCCAACATCAAGTAATCCCCCTCTTCCATGTCTAAAGGTATACACCAATCTTCTGTAGATGGGTTGTGTGGCTTGATGTTTTCGTAATGAGCGGCTCGGCCAGTACTCAGTCTATAAAAGCGTCCCTGCTGGTGCACCTCCGTAATCATGAACGGTCCCCTCCACTTTTTTAGGAGCTTTTTCGTTCCTTTCGGTGGTATGAAGTTCTGAAAAACCCATACGTAGTCCCCTACCGAATAAGCTTTTGCACCAGCTGCTTTCTTGTCAAATCTTTTCCTCTGCCTTGCCTGTGCCTGCTGAGTATTTCGTCAACATAAGTCGTTTAACTCCTGCTGACGTCTTATTACATTCCTTACATAGACCTGTGGCGACGTCTTCTTACCCTCATACTCTGGGTAGAAGAAAGTCAAGGTCAAAGACTTCTTGTGTCTGGTTAGCATCATGTGTGAACTAACTCCGGTGGTGAAATTTTGCGTGCTATTATAAGCCCCCATCACTTGTGGAAGGTATCTGTCCCAATCGGTCACGTACCTGGAACAATATACCCTCAGCATCGATACTAACGTTCGATTCTGCCTTTCCACTAAGCCATTCGTCTGGGGATGGTATGTCGTGGAAAGAGCTTGAGCAACCTGCGAGCTTCTCATAAGCTCTTTCGTGAGTTCCCCCACAAAAGCTGTTCCATTATCCGATTGAAATGTCATCGGACAGCCATGTCTTGTTATCCACGTATTGATCAGGTGATCGTACGTCTCTTCCGCTGAGGCAGTTATACAGGGCACGGCCTCTGCATACTTCGTGAAGTGATCTATCATGACCAAGACTTGATTATAACCACTGTCTGTCATGCATATCTTTTGGTGATCAATCTGCACCACCTCGTTGAATTCAGACGACTCGATCGACTGCAAAGGAAATCGTAATTTCCTTGGATCCTTGACCTGCTGGCATGACAGACATGCTGCTACCCACTTCTCGCATGCCTTTTTCCTTGCAGGCCACTCAAAGCGCTTCAGGATTTTTTGATATACTTTGTCGATTCCCTGGTGGCCCATCTGATCATGCGACCTGAACAAAAGTTCTGTCTGACAGAGTTGCGGCAACACTATCGCGTTATACTTGTACAGGACTTTGTCTTCTTCTCTTCTCTTGCAAGCCACGATCCCGTCCTTGTTCAGATATAACTTTCCCTCTTTCTGCATAAAGTATTGTCGCAGAATGAGGTAACTGTCTTCCTCTATCTCCTTTGTCTATCTCCTTCGTCTATCTCCTTTGTCCGGAGCACCATTTTTGATCCACTGTTTCAGTTTGCTTGTCGTGCGGTCATTTCTCTATGCTCTTAGTAGGTCCGAGAGTCTGTATCTCGCCTTCAAGTACGTCTTCATGATCCTCACCTGAGTATTCAGCTCATTGGTGATGCGTATCTTCTTCTATCTTAACGCACCAAATCTTTGCCAATGGCTGTGTTTCCTGTTCGAATGGCTGAATATCAGTCCTGACTACCTCTTTTTGTGGCAACAGACTTATCGAACGTTTCGATACCGCTATTGTTTCCAGATCATCCGCTGCGTTATCAAAGACTCTTTCACCTGGTATGAGGTAGCGATCACTGTCAGGGTCTTGATATACCTGCCTGTCCAGATTCCTTGCTCGAGTCTCCACTAGCAGTGCGTGGATCGCTAGCTCTGACAGTTCCGATCCTGAGCTCGAGTTCCTGTCTGAGTAGGTGTCGATTCCAGAGTTGCGGGAATTGTCATCTTTTGAAGAGTCTGCGATAGAGCACTTCCCATCCTCCGGATCATTCCTACGCGTTCTTAGCATCCATCTGAGCTCCCCGGACAAAACTTTATGCCCCTGTTCCTTCCGACCGTATGAAGTACTGGTTAAACCCTCGTGGGGTATTGAGGATACTAGTTGCTGAACTATTGTCCTACAATCCCTCTCGTTTTCTTTGTGTTGTCGTCTGGACGGCATGATCTTCACCTTCTCACTGACTGTCAGTGATGCCACTGCTGCTGCCCACTCGGGGCCATCTCTGGTCACTTCCCTCTCTAACAATCCACCCAGCATCCGCATCACTTACGATGTGACCTGCAGCGTTTTATCCAATCATGAGAGGCTGTTAATGTTCATGCGAGAGAGTTCCTGCTGGACCAGGTTCGAGCGCAGCAACAGGTCCAATGGCACTGGGTACTTTTGGGATAGAATCTTTATCTCGGCTGCGTTCTCTACAGGTAACTCAGGATGTCCTGGTATTGGATGTCCAGACTTATCCAACCATCTCGTCAAGGGAAGCGCTTCATAAATCTCTTTATCCAGAAACGAGAATCCTTCCTCGATTTCTGCCTGATGGGCTTGCTTCTGCTCCAATCTTTCATAGAACTCGGTTTTATTGCTGAGGCTGTCAGCATTCTGGTGTTTGTCACGCATCCTGTGCTCGATTATCATGTGATAGCCATCTAATCTCACTATCCATCTTCCAATATAACTCTGATCCATCGAGTATGTCTTCAACCAGGATAACGCGCTGTTGTCCACGCGTAACATAAAGGGAGCGCTCCCCAAATACGCGCGGTACTTTTCCACAAATGTGACTACTGCAAACATTTCTGCCTTTGGTGCACCATATTTCATCTCAGTGTCACTTAACACCTTACTGCCATATGCAATGGGACGGAGAACGGTTCTCCCATTCCACTCCTGCTCCTGATGCAGTATTCCCGAGATGGCTACTACTGATGCGTCTGTGTCAAGAACATACATGCCTTTTTCAGTAGGCATGCCTAGCACTGGCGCTTTGCACAGTTCCCGCTTTATTATGTTCTCAAAGGCCGTTTGAGCTTCATTACTCCGTTTGAACTTCTTTTCTTTGTTGCGCATCAGCTTCTGCATCGGATACACCTTGTCTGCATATCCTTTTATGAAGTCGCGGTAATAATTGGCAAACCCTAGGAGGCTCATGAGCTGTGTGTCCGTTCGTGGAGCCTTCCATGTCAACACAGCTTCTACTGCTTCCGGGTTCGGCCTCACACTATGCTTGTTCACCATTCTTCCTAGATACTTGATCGAATCCATCAGGATCTCACATTTTGATGGTTTGCATTTTAAGCCTGCTCTCTTCATGCAATCAAATCCGCATCAAGTCGATCAATGTGGTCTTCCAGGGTTGGTGTTGCAATGACCACGTCATCCACGTAGCACATCACACGATTCCCGTACTTCTTCGTCACTCTGGTCGAAGCATGAGCCATCAGTCTTTGAAAAGTGGCTGTTGCGTTGCACAAGCCAAAGGGCATCCTCTTCCACTGGTACAATCCCAACTCGCATGCGAATCCGGTCTTTTCTCTATCCTTCTTACGCAAAGGGCATAACCCAAGTCCAATGTGGTGAAGAATTTGACATCGCCAATTTTAGATAGGCTCTCGTCTATCCGCGGTATCGGGTACGCATCTTTCATCGTTACCGCGTTCAAGTAGCGAAAGTCGCAACAAAACCTAAGCTGCCCCCTTTCTTTTTCGCCATTACTACCCCGCAAGCCCACGGCGATTTCGAGGGTTCTATCTTGTCGTATTCGAGCAACATTTCTAATTCTGATCGGTACGCTTCCGATTTATGTGGCGTCATTCGCCTTGCGCCTTCCCTATGGGAAACGGCGCCTTCCTCAAGTTCGATTTCGTGTTCGACGAAGTTACAGCAACCGATATCCGCCTTATGTTTTGAACATACATCCGCATTTCGATTTAAAACCGCCCGCAGTAACTCAAAATCTCCCTCACCTATTTTCTCTTTTAAGTGTTCTATTTCTGGAAAAACCGGTTTGTCAGATTCTAGTTCATATGACGAGGGGCGTTCCAAAAAATTCGAGCAGCTTGACAAGCCATCGTCCGTCTCAGACTTGAGTGAAAACAGTTTATGAATAGATTTTAATTCATTAATCCTTTTTAAAATTTTATCTTTATTGGCATGATAAGGACAATCTTTCACACTATATCTCTTCAAGTTTTGTGTCCCTTCATAGTCGGTCCTCATCGGCAAAGCGTAACCAAGTTTCTTTCCACGCTGGATTGAAACCGTGGTGTCCAGTGTGTTCAATAACACACTGACACACAGTCCGTTTCGAGTTACCGAGAAGCTCCGGCCTAAAATCATTGAACTTTGACTATTTGGATTCGGTACCAAACAAACCTGTTTACTATCACTTAACGAATTTAAACTTCTCATTCTAAAAATTGCTACTACTGCTTGTCCCGGCTGTAGTTTTACCTTTCTATCTAAAAAGATTGGTATCTTGTTTTCATCTGTTATTATTGTATTAATTGGTTTCTTAACATACTTCCTGTCCGGGTTTCTAATCCTCATTAGAGCGTTGTTCAAGTCAATCATGACGTCGAAATTCCTGACAAAATCTCTGCCCAGGATGAATTGCTCTGAGTCATCCAGATTCTCTACTACTAGGAAGCTCATCCAAAGATCCCGTCCTTCCATTTGGAGGACCGTTATTAGTGTTCTTCCGGCTACGTAAATCGCTCCTCGATTGGCGGCGGCCAGTCGGAGATTCGTTGGAATTAGATCTTCCCTCGTGAAGCCCATTCTTTCCCAAGTCTTTATCGGCATCACACTCACTACCGCTCCTGTGTCCAGAAGCCCTGTGACTCCGATTTTCTTTCCGTTGGTGTCGAGCAGATGTGCAGTCACATCTGCTTCGTATCCAAGGGAACCGCATCTTGCTCCATCATAGCGTCATGGCCTATCCTACGGACTTTGAGTTATTCTTCACCCAAATAGATCTGTCCTATTTGGTCACAATGTACACACCACTGGTTGCTAACATTGTTCGAAGTTCATCATTCTTCACACCATCGATGAATTTCGAGGCTACTGCCAGGTTCATCCTTCTGTTCGACTCATCTGGTTGGCTACGCCTTCTCAGCATCTCCAAATCGTCTAGAAACTTGTCTATCGTCTCATCTTCTCTTTGCCTCCGTTTCTCGAAGCGCATCATTGCTTGGTGTCCCTGCACCCTGAGCCAAAACGATTTAACAAGATTTAAAAGAGTTTCTCAGCAGTGTCCCGTTGGTACTGCTTTTTGACCATCACGCAGCAGTGTCCCGTTGGTACTGCTTTTGACCTCAACGTCCCTTCCAAGTTGCTGGTAAGCGCACTGCATTCTTGCCTTTCTGACAAGTCCTCTTCCTCAAAATGCAGTTTCATCACTTCTATCAAGGTATCAATGAAGCCGTCAGATTCGTCTTTATAGCATCTTGGTTTCTTAAAGACTCTTCTGGACTTTTCACTGCGTTCATTGGTTCTGGATAACCTCGTCAGCAATGTCTCCAAAGACCTGTTTAGGGGTTCAAAGGCTGTGGCCATTGCTGTAGCATCTCTTGAATGCCCCGCTTGAGTATCATCGCCCCCTGCTAAGGGTTCTGTATTTGGTACATCCCTTCTATCCGAATCTCCGGAATTTTTTCTTCCTTGGCTCGCATGACTCATTCCTGGGCTTGCATGACTCCTGTTCCTGGAATCACCTCTCCCAGTCGCATGTGTGCCTTGCGTTGATCGTTCGTTTGAGGTCTGCCTGTTGCCAGTTGAACTTCTTCTGATGTTTGGGCCCCATGTTCTATTATCCCCTGTGGCATAGCCTGCTGAACTGCCCCTACATCTAGCGGATTCATATGTCCTTCTCCTATTTTGTTGGTCATTGAAGTTCACCCTCGGCTCCCTGCTGGGTCCTCCTGAGTTCGGTTCCCCATCTTTTGGTCCACTCTTGCTGCCTAGTAGACCGTCCAACCTATCCATGATAGCCTGAGTTCGCCTCTCCATCATCGCATCTATCTTTGTGTCAAGAGTCCCAAAAGACTGCTCTTGTTGAAATCTCAACTGTATCTCAACTCTCCATGTCGTCTCTCAATTGTAACTCTCTCTGTTCCGCTTCTCTTGTCATTCGCGACAAGTTCTTTGCCAAGTGTTCATCTGTTCTTTCCTTCAAGTGTTTTTCGCTTCCACTAACTCCTTGTCTATTGCGGTTTATTTCTTCCCGCAGACTTTCTCTCTCGACGTGGGCTGCCTTTTCTAGTTCACTAATTTTTATTGACATCTGTTCATTATGTTCTCCTATGCTGCCCACTGTGTTGGTCAAGGCTTCTTCATCGATGCTCCGTTATCCACTAGTGGCGTCACAAGTGGCGGTGTCACCCTGTCGATCCCAGGTAGCTTGGTGCTGGTCGATATTCAACGTGCTCCTCAACGTCTTTTCATTATCCACCTCTGGATCCGCCGGTGCGTTTCTTAGCCCTGTGTTTCTATTCTCCCCCGTTCGCATTTCCGAATTTGTCATACTCACAAAGTCTCCTGACTGGCCTGATGTGTTTGTCGTTTTGCTTATTGTCCTCACTTCACCAAATTGGTCCATGGTACCAGTCCCTCTGTCGGTGTATGCTTCATTCTCCTGAGTCGAACTATTGAGGCTGACTTGAGATCCAAAGTCAGCTTGCTCTTCATCGTCCTCTTCTTCCTCCTGGGATTCTCCTTCATCGCCTGTACCCGCTCCCATGGTAAATGGAAAGATGTTTTCTCGAAAGCGTTCTTCACTCTTTCTGAAAACAATGAGGACGTTGCCTGTTTCTCCGTCACGCCTGCCATCATGGTGTTGTCTGTGGGAGATCTTCTATTTGCCACAATTTCAGTAGAAATGTCGGACTGTTCCGTCATCTCCTCTGGGTCCAGTGTCCCGGTGGAAGTGGCAAAATCTTGGCCTTGTTCTATCGGAGTAGATTCACTCGCTAGCCTTCTGTTTCCTCTCCCCTTCGGTCCATGTATTTCCTGGTTCTCATCGATGGCCTGGTCCGGATAGACCTCCACTTCTAGCATTGCTTTTTGCTCTTCTGAGGACTTCTGACTCCTGGTCTCAACCATTCTGCCTAAAACCGTCTCCCCATTGTCAGTCCGAGTTCGTGTGATCCTTTCCACAAAAGGGTCGGTCATTGCTTTTCTCTGTTTCTCAGGTATGAATTTCCTGGAGCTATCACCTAGCTTAGGTATCCTTGACTTGTCTAGACTCATACTCAATTTACCACTTCTTACTGCCTATACACTCAATTCGATTGCTAGTGTCCTTTTGATCTGACTACTGATAGTAATAACACAAAACAATAAGTTCCAAAAGTTATTTCTATTAAATAGTGACCACGAATCCTTGTATGTTATCACAGTACAGCGTGTATACAATTTCTTCACGATAATTGATTATTAGTAGTAAAATGAGAAGCTAGCACAGTAAGATAGTGTTCTCACTACCCAATCAAGCACAAATATTATTGATTTAAAACCAAAATTGAGAAACAAAAAAATAAGAATATTTTCTATGAAAACGTTTGTGTTTTGTACTTTTAATCAGTCGCAATACAATAGTTGAACTTGTTTTTGCAGAAAGAACTTTCCCTGTTTGGTGCTGCACCAAACAGACAAAACTTGAAAGCAGTAATTTTCTCAAGTGAGCGTCTATTGCGCCCACCGAGTCCTGTGTTACCTATCTGCCTTCGGACTGACAAGCTAGACCTACTAAAATCCTCAGGGCAATCACTTTTCTCAAAAACGTCTTGGATTTCAATCCACACCAATTAGTTATACACTCTTGTTCAATTTAGACTTAATATCGCGAATATCCGAGTTCAGACCTGTTTTGTTTTGGTTTGGTTTTTTATAAAAGGCAAGTTACCAGTGCAGTCACTGGTTCCCAGCCTATCTCTTAATAACCTAATACCTTTAACTACTTTCTTTTCTGTTGTCTTCTTAAGTCTTGACAAAACAATACCCCTCCGAATTGACAAAAATAGGACCCCTTTCCGAATTGACAAAAATAGGACCCCTCCGGATTGGCAAAATTTGGAACCCCTCCGGATTGGCAAAATAAGAACTCCCTGGATTGGCAAAATTGGAGCCCCTCCGGATTGGCTAAAATAAGACCCCTCCGGATTGGGAAAATTAAGACCCCTCCGGATTGGGAAAATTAAGACCCCTCCGGATTGGGAAAATTAAGAACCCTCCGGATTAGGACCCCTCCGGGTTTGTAAAAATAGCTTCTTGTAGACCCTCTAATTTTTCACCTGATACCCTTCCGGATACGTTCTCCGATGCTTTTATGCAGTTTGAAATAACAAGGAAGGGTGTTACGTCTTTCCCAAGACCCTTCCGGATTGAAGTTAAGCCTCTTATTTGACAATTCACCCTAACGGTGAAGGGTCTTATCGCTAGCTTAGTTTTGACTTGACTAAACTTTTCTGGTGCCCTTAGCCTTCCCTTTTTGTCTAGAACAGCGTAAAATTACATTATCAAACCGTTACTACCCTTTGGTAGGGGTGTAAGGATTTTCCAAAGTTTTTTTTTTATAAAACGTGAAGGGTCTACCTTCCCGAATTGGTGAATTTGCTGAAAACAATCCCAAACGCTTTTTTGATAAATTGATGTTTTCATTAAAAAGCTCAGCTAATTTCTGATCTAATGGTACCAAGATCAACTGGATCTGTCTAGTAGTTCCTAAGTTATTAACCAAAACGTCTTTTTTCTGAAGTCAAAAAATTTCTCTCTTATAGGTTCCACCTAAATTTTTTCGCAATTCTGTTCTTTTCAAGCTAAAAATTATTGATCCGAGCTCAAAAGGCCTATACTCTTCTAGTTCAATGCAAAAAACCCAATCTAAAACGCTCTAGCTGAAAAAATTTTCCAAAAACTATGCTATTTGGACCCCTCCGGATTGATGAATCCACTAAATCACACACGTTAAATTCGATTTCTCTGTAACCTGGAAGGTTATCGGCAAACGGGTTTTAAAACCTGTCTATTTACTAGTGGACGTTGTCCGGACAACAATTTTTACTGTCCTAACTCAAAAATTTCAAATTTTATAGTGTTCCGTTTTTTCAAAATCACTAAAATTCGGTTTTTGGTACCCTAATAGTTCCAACCACTTCTGAACTAAACTGAACCGGTTCTACTTATTATACTAGTACAGTTAGGATGTAATTCACTAAATTAGTGCTTTTTTCAGTTTCAAAAAATATCGATATCTCAAAAATCGCGATTTAGGGGGGATCAAAATATCATTATTTTGACCCTAAAAACCGGTCCTTCTACTGTGTTTTTCACTGAAAAACGATATAGGAGTAATAATATAGGCTGTATAAACAATAATAGTAGTAATACTATACCCCTCCGGGTTTGTTCAATATCAGAATTAAGGTGCTTTACTCGGAATTCCGCAGTTCGGTGAAGGGTCACTACAGTGCAGCACTGTCGACCCCCCCACAGATTAATATCTTACTTTTTTGTACCAAAAGGGATACAAAACTTGTTAATGATACCCAACAGTCGATTGTTGCTGTCGCTGAGCCCCTTCTTGTCGCTCCTTGAACTGCTTGCCGGATCAGTCTTCTTAACTAATCCCGAGACCCTTCCGGATTGAGCGCAAATTAGCATCAACGCGCTTAAATACTCAAATAACCCTACAGTACAAGCCTCACAAACGGGACACAAAATTGATTGTAACGATCCTGAATGATATAAATGCCTGTAACGACAATATATCTAACAACAACAAACGGGAGGGTCGGATCACATCTCGTCTGGGGGGATGATTTCTACTGATTTTATACTTTTTTACTGTTTTTGTTTTTTTTTTCCGGTTATTTTTTATGTTTTTTGTTTTTCTTGGGTACTATACTACTTTTTGTTTGCTTTCTTGTATATCTTTAAGTGTTTTTGGTCAAAACCTCTCAGGGAACGAGGGGACGGTCGATCTCCCCACCCTTCCTGGAACGTGAAGTTTCGGTGTTAACTAGGTTAAAAAGCTATTCACAGGAATCCGGAAGGCTTCCGCGTTCCGAACTACCCTTCCGCCTCGGCGGTTAGGGCCTATTAAAGGCGTGTTTATGAGCATCCCCTCGGCGCGGAGTGCTCGTTAACGGTTCTGCCGGTCATGATGTTAAAAAAAAAAACCCGGGAGCGCCACAAAAACATCTATGTAACATTCGCCCGGAAGTACATATCGACGGAAAATAAAGCTAAGCTATAAAACGACTGGCCAGCGTCTAAACAAAGCTGTTCATGATTTTCACCGTCTCTACCAAAGCCAGTTCTTTTGGTGGTCTTTTCAACATCGGGTCGACAAAAAACGTTACTGTTCTCCGGCTTCGACCAGAACGCTCAAATTAACTTACCTACATGCAAAATTAGTGAGCTCATGGCTGGGTGTCAGTATCCCCAGACCACGAGGTCTCTCCTAAAAACAGGACTACTACTACTCATTATATTACTATTGTTTTTGTTCAGTAGATAAAAATCATCATCTCGATCGAAGATGGATCAACCCTTTCCCTTAACTCCTAGCTTCTCATCGTCAGAAAATGAATCCAGATGTTAATTAAATTCAATTCAGGACATAACCAGGAAGCTAAACGTTAGTTTAAAATGGTTCAAGTTCAAATCCCAAGACCCCTCCGGATTCCCGAATCCGGGGAAATAACACCCATATTTCCTCTCCGGAAGGCTGGTTTTCACCCTTCACCGTTAGTGTGAATGGCCTTGCAACGATTGTAGCGACACAATCGTTGCAGCTCGGAGCGGTCTCTGCTAATACTCTGTTTTATGCTTCTATCTCTTATCAACGTTTTTCTCACAACTATCGTCGTTGTTGTTTTTTCAACTT